TCCTTTAAAGAGCTCTGGTAGCATAGTGGTTATAAATCAGGCTACTAATCTCATGGTAGCATAGTGGTTACGAATCGGGCTGCGAACCTTAAGGTCAGCGGTTCGAAACTACCAGCTGCTCCGCTGGAGAAAGATGAGGCATTCTACTCCCGTAAAGATTTACACCCTCGGAAACCCTGTACAGGGTCGCTATGGGTCGGAACCGACTCGACAGCACATAACAACAACAACAATCTCATGGTTAGCAGTTTGAAACTACCAATTGTTCTGTGGTAGAAAGATGTTTTCTGCTCCTGTAAAGATTTACAACCTTGGAAACCCTATACAGGGTTGCTATGAGCTGGAACCGACTCTACAGAACATAACAACAACAATAACATATGTCCTTTGGTGTGGCACTGTAGGATCAGCACTGGACTGCAAACCACAAGGTCGGTAGTTCAAAACCATCAGCTGCTCCTTGGAAACCCTGTATAGTGTTGCTATGGGTTGGAACTGACTTGATGGCACTTAATAACAACAACAACATACGTTCTTTGATTTCTTGACTACTGCTTCCATGAGCATTGATTGTGGAACCAAGCAAGATTAAGTCTTTAACAACATCAATCTTTTCTTCATTTATCATGATATTATTTATTGGTCCAGTTGTGAAGATTTTTGTTTTCTTTACATTGAAGTGAAATTCATACTGAAGGCTGTAGTCTTTGATCTCCATAAGTATTTCAAGACCTCTTAACTTCCAGCAAACAAGATTCTGTCATCTGCACATCAGAGGTTGCTAGTAAATTTTTCTCTAATCCTGATGTCACATTCTTTTTCATATAATTCAGCTTCTCAGATTATTTGCTCAGCATATAGACTGAATTAATATGGTGAAATGATACAACGCTGGTGCACACATTTCATGATTTTAAACCATTCAGTATTCTCTTCTGTTGTAATGACTGCTTCGTGGTCTAAGAGCAGGTTCCTTATGAGCACAATTGAGTGTTCTGGAATACTCATTCTTCTCAATGTTTGTTATGTTCTACAGAGTTGAAATACCTTTGCATAGGTATTCAACTATAAACTCTATAGTTTATTATGATCCACACAGTCAAATACCTTTGCATAGTCAATAAAGCACAAGCAAACATTTCTCTGGTATATCTGCTTTCAGCTAAGATCCATTGATGTCCACAGCCTCTTCTGAATCTGGCTTGAATTTGTGGCAGCTCCCTGTTAATGTATTTCTGTAACTCTTTCTGATGTATCTTCAGCAAAATTTTACATGCATATGCTATTAATGACATTATTAGACAATTTCTGCATTCTGTTGAGTCATCTTTTTTGAAATGGGCCCAACTATGGCTCTCTTCCAATTGGCTGGCCTGATAGCAGTCTTCCATATTTCTTGGCATAGAAGAGTGAGTGCCTCCAGTGTTGCATCAGTTTGTTGAAAAATATTAATTTGTATTCTGCCAATTCCTGGAACCTTGTTTTTTGCTTCAGTGCAGCCTGAACCTCTTCCTTTAGTATCATCAGTTCTTGATCATATGGCACTTCTTGAACTGGTTGACCATTTCTTTTTGGTATAGTGACTCTGTATAGTCCATCCAGCTTTTTGAATCACTCAATATTTTGGCTATAGAAACTTTTAACATTGCAACCTGAGATTTGAACTTTTTTCTTCATTTCTTTCAGTTTGAGAAATGCTGAGTGTGTTCTTCCTTTTGGGCTTATCTAACTCCAGATCATTGTACATTTCATTATAATACTTACCTTTGTCTTCTGAGCAGCTCTTTGGAATTTTCTGTTCAGTTTTTTTATTTTTTATTTCATCATTTCTTCCAGTTGCTTTAGATTCTCTACATTCAAGAACAAGTTTCACAGTCTGTTCTGACAGTCATTTTGTCTTTTCTTTCTTTCCTGTCTTTTGAATGACCTTGTGCTTTCTTCTTGTATGTTCTTGATGTCATCCAGAAGTCCTTTGGTCTTCAATCATTAGTGTTGTAATATCAAATCTGTTCTTGAGATGGTCTCTGAATTCAACCACAAGGTTGGTGGTTTAAGCTCACCAGTCACTCCTTAGAAACCCTGTACAGGGTTGCTATGAGTCAGAACCAACTCAATAGCACTTAACACCAATAATAACAAAATGCTCAAGTTCATATTTTGCCTCTCGTGGATTTTTAATTATCTTCAGTTTCAGCCTGAACTTGCATATGAGCAATAGATGGTCTGTTCCATAGCCTGCCTCTGGCCTTGTTTTGGCTGATGATACTGAGCTTCTTCACTGTCTCTTCCCACAGATGTAGTCAATTTAATTCCTGTGTATGCCATCTGATGAGGTCCAATTGTATAGTTGCTTTTATATTGTTTACAAAAAGTATTTTCAATGAAGAAGTCTTTAATCTTGTAAAATTCTATCATGCCATCTCCAGTATCATTTCTGTCACCAAGGTCATATTTTCTAACTACTGATACTTCCTCCTTTTTTTTTTTTTTTTCCAACTTTTGCATTCCAACTATCAGTAAATAGCAGTACATCCTAGTTGCATGTTTCATCAGTTTTAAACTGAAGTAGTTGATAGAACTCTTCAGTTTCATCACCATTGAGATTAGTAGTTGGTGCAGAAGTTTGAATAATATTGGTATTAACTGGTCTTTCTTGAAGGTGCATTAATATTATCCTATTACAGATAGCATTGTACTTCAGGATAGATTTTGAAATGATTTGTTTGATGATGAATGTGATTCCATTCCTCTTCAATTAGTCATTTCTGGCTTGATAAATCATATGATTATCCAATTCAAAATGGCCACTACCACCAGTCCATTTCAGCTCACTTAACAACAAGAACCCATTCCATTTCAGCTTACTGATGCTAGGATATCCATCTTTATGCATTTCATTTTATAATTGAAAATTTCCAATTTCCCCAGAATCATATTTCATACATTCTACATTCTTAATATCATTGGGTATTTCCAGCTGTTTCTCCTCATTTTGATTTGTGCCTCATCACCAAAGAAAGGTCCTGAAAGCTAGGTCCAGTCACATCATCATAGTCTACTTTGAGGAGCCAGCTCTTTCCCAGTTGTATTTTGAGTACCTTCCAACCTGAAAGACTCCCTCCTGCTTAGGCTGAATTACAGATGAAGTCAAGATGATTCCAACTCATGATGACTCTGTGTGTGTCAGAGTGGAACAGTGCTACATAAGGTTTTCAATGGTTGAGTTTTCTAAAGTAGATTGCCAGGTTTTTCATCTGACATACTCTGGGTGGTCTTGGCCTGTCAAACTTTTGTTTAGCTGCCCAGTGCCTTAAAGAGATTTAAAATATATGAAGGAGTTTCTGAGTGGTGTAAATGGTTAAGTGTCCTCAACTATTAGACAAAAGATTGGTGGTTTAAACCCACTGAGAAGTGCCTGGAAAAACCGACGTAATTATCTGCGTCGAAAATATCACATCCTTAAAACTCTGTAGAGCAGTTCTACTCTGCTATGTGGGATGGCAACTAGCAACACACCAAAGTATATGAACCATTTGAATGGCCCATGTCTGTGTTCGTCTCCTGAATAATCAGGAGTTGGCAGCATTATATTTATCTCCATTTATTGTTGTTGTTAAGTGCCGTTGGGTCAGTTCCAATTCATAACTACCCTGTACAGGGTTTCAGAGGAACAGCTGGTGGGTTTGAACGGTTCAACTTTTGGTTCACAGTCCAGTGGTGATCCTAAAGTGCCATTTGAATTATATTTGTAGGAGACATGCTTAAACTTTTTAAGGCTTATGAGATGGAAAGTAATTATGGTAGATGACTGCTATTGTTGTGTGTCCTTGATTTGGTTCCTACTCATAGTGATCCTTTATAGGATCTCCGAAGAGCAGCTGGTAAATTTGAACCACTGAGTTTTTGGTTAGAAATCCAATGCCTATTCCACAGTGTCACATCTGGACTCCGTGCTTAAGGTATAAAACTTAAAATGTTATCTTTTCCATAGGCATTTGAATGTAAATTTTGGCTCTTTTAAAAAATAAAAATAAAAAGTATTTACTGGTGGACTGTCAGGTAGCTCAGTGAGGGTAGTGTGTAGGGGAGGTGAATTTCCATGACCATTCAGTTTTACTAAGCCACTGTGTATACCTTCGTAAGACTAAAATCAGGCAATGTTTGCAAAATGAATTAATACATTTTAAAAATTATGTACATGATCTTTAGCATTTTCTTGGCTACTGCTTAAAGTTGAAAAGGAGAAAAAAACACACAGTTTATTCTTTATTAGGTGATCAATCAAATTGAAGGAAGGTATAACAGTAAGTTACAGCAAGTTTATAAACAGAATATTGAATTTTGGACCTTTGTTTCTTATCTCTTGTTTTATTTGAAGCTAGAAGGTAATACATAAATAAATTATAAGACATTCAGATATGATATAATCTAATATTTGGGACTCAACATTAGGCATTAGTCATACATAGTCTTTCACTCTTTTCCCTTTAAAATAATAATTGAACTACCTTTCGGGATTTGAAAAAAAGTTGCAGCTTCATTAAGGAGCCCTGGTGATGCAGCGAATAAGCTCTTGTCTGCTAACTGAAAGGTCACCTGTTCAGAGTTCAAACCCACCAGCTACTCTATGGAAGAAAGATATGGCAATCTGTTTCTGAAAGAAAGATTACATCCTTGAAAGTCCTTTGGGGGCAGTCCTACTCTGTCCTATGGGGTCGTTATGAGTTGGAATTGACTTCCTGGGAGCAGGTTTGTTTGTTTTTTTATGACTGTGTTACATTTTATAATTCACATTGACATCAGAATGTTAATTTTTAAAAAAGCTTTTTAAATACTAATTTAAAGAAGGAAGCACATGCTATGAACAGTGAAGACTAAATTACTCTGGCTGGATCTCTCACCTCCACTTTAGTATATAAATCATGTTTGCCCAGAATTTGCTCAGCATGTTCAATTGATTCTTTGTTACTAAGGGACTTTGGGATTCTTTTTTACTTTAGGGTCAATACGACTTCGCGGTGGCAAAAATGAGTTTGAAGGCACAGTGGAAGTATTTTCAAATGGTGCTTGGGGCACAATCTGTAGCAGCCACTGGGATGATTCTGATGCATCGGTTATTTGTCATCAGCTGCAGCTTGGGTGAGTTTGCCATTTCTAATCAATTCCGTCTGCTCACATCTGGGAATGCTGGACAGCCATCATTACCTTTGGAAAGTTACAGCTTCTCTCCTTATTCCCACTGTCCTTAGTTTTACTTTCCCCAAAAGCTGTAAAGAAAGGACCAAGAATGGATTCTCTAATACACAAATGTACTTTATATATTACTGCTCCCACAGAAGGAGTCCTGGTGTGGCATTGTGGGATAATGAACTGGATCGCAAGGTCAATTTGAAATGAAAGGTTGGCAGTTCAAAGTCACCAGCTACTCCTCAAACCCTATATAGAGTCACCATGGGTTGGAACCAACTCAACCATTTAACAACAAAAACTCCCACAGAACTAAGAGATTCGCAAATGCTAATTGGGCAAAAGTGAAAAGTATCTTTTGGCTTTTGGTTTTTATAAATAATTGTTTAGGTATGTTGTTGTTGTTGTCAGGTGCCATCGAGTCGGAACTGACTCAGCAACCCCATGCACAGCAGAACGAAACAATGTCCGATCCTGGGCCAACCTCAC